CCATGCTTGGGAAATCATCATAGAGTAGAGAAAACAAAATACCATCATTGTTAATACAATCTCACATAGAAAGAAAGGAATGTGTCCTGTGACTGTCACAGAAACCCCATCTATCCAGGGTCTCCTGGAAATGCTGAAGTCTGTGAATCTTGGGGTCCTCACTTAACCCCTCCCCAGTCCTCCAACTCTCTCCAACACATGCCTCCCTCCCTCCCCACTGCACGTCCCACACCCAGCCAGAGAACTTTTGTGGAAAGGTTTTGAGGTGCCTTTTGAGTGAGATGATCTAGAGGATTATGTGAGGTAAGAGGACATCTGAGATTGACTGAAGGAAGAGAACAGTCTAGAACATTCTTCCTTTAATTGGGGGGAGAATTCTACTTTGTAAAGCCAGGTTTTAGGTTCCTCTTTGCTCATGCCCACTCAGATGCAAACACTTTTCAGAGAGACGATGGCTTCCTTCAAGAGCACTTACCACTACAGGTTGGTCTCTCGAGAGCAACACACGTAAACTTCAACCAGACAGATGCCTTATCTTGCCTTGCCTACATACATTGAGTATTTTGTTTGCTGTTTTCCAAATATTTCTAGTTCATCTTCCTCCATGAATATGATGGGATTGCTTTCCTGGGCCCCTATAGTTGCTTGAGGACATGACAGATTCTAGCCGATAAGTTGTCATGAAGTGGCATTTAATTGCCAATGCAAGGTCCTGCGGAACCCTCTTTTCCCTGTGGTGTGATGACTAGCAAGTTCAAGATAGCAATACTTCCAACAGCCTTTGCTCCCTGAATGACTATAAGCAGACTCTTCCCATATCCATAATGACCCACAATGAACACATTAACGAGTAAGAAATCAGTCTCTGTTGTTTAAGACACTGAGATTGGGGTTGTTCTTACCATAGCATAACCAAGCCCATCTTGCCTAAGACACACTGTTACCTATAGTTGCCTCAGTGGCAACTAATGTAATATTTTCTAAAGAATATAGATAAATTACAACTAAATATATAATAATAGAGAGATATCCTTAGGAAAAGCAATGTCTATCAATGAATGATATAAAAGGGGGAAAAAAGGTAAAAACTGATGTCAGATTATGTTAAGAGATGAAAGCAGACAACTTGAGGGGATAGATTTTGCCAAGTGGATGAGTTTTAACAAAGGATCTGGCTGGCTCTAGAGTGCCTTTATTGGGAATTATGAAGTGGGAGGGTTTGGGCAACAAAAACAGCAACCCAGGTTAGAGACCCCTAATGCCAGAACCCCAGCAGAGGAAAGAACAATGTAAAATTGTTCCCAACGGGGCAAAAACACCTCCTTTGCTTCTACCAATAGGGGTCAATCAGTCCATGTTACTCAGAACATTGGCACAGTGAGAAAGACGTTGCTACATAATATTCATTTTCCCTTTGTTATTAATAAAATGCAAATTTTGTCCTCATAGCAATGTGTTCATTAAAAACACTCCCTTTTTGGATTTGAGTTGGTTAAGCAGCTGACTTTTGGTTTCAGCTCAGGTCATGATCTCAGGGTCCTGGGATCAAGCCCCATGTCAGGCTCTGTGCTCAGTGGGGGATTTGCTTGAGGACTTTCTCTCTTTCCCTCTCCCTCTGCCCCTCCCCCAACTCACACACTCTCTCCCCCCTTTCTCCCTCCCTCTCTCTCTCTCTCAAATAAATAAATCTTTAGGGGAAAAAAAAAAAAAAGACTCCCTTTTCCAGACTCCCTTTCAGCTAGGGATGGTCCGGAGACCAATTCTAACCAATCCTAACCAATTCTAAAATACACGGGGTAGAGCTTCCTAGAAAGCTATTACTCCCCTGAAGGGCCAGACCCAGTAGCTTGTGTCTTTCCCATTTTGCCCTTCGTCCTGGCTGGAACAAGGAAGTGATGCCTGGAAGTGCTGCCGCCTTGCTGTGAGAGGAAGTGTGAAAGCCGCAGAGTCCAGAGAATGGGGCCGAAAGACGAACCAAGCCTGAGTCTCCGACCCAGCCTTGTGAAGGGTCCCATCAGTCCTACACTACCTCCTGAGACATCTTATTAAGTGGGAAAGCAAATTCCTGCTTGCTTACACTACCCTAGGCAGGTCCCTATTACACCCAGCTGAACCTACTCCCCACCAGTACTCCTGGGAAACCGCAACTCACGGCTAGGGGCTGACCCACACAAGGGTCTTGTTTGACCAGCAGAGTGTTTTAAGTAGTAATATTTTAAAAGTGGGACACTTCATTCAAATTCCAAATCTCTGGCTTCTTTTGCGGAGCTAAAGGGCCGAGGAAAATTGGGCCTGCCTTCCTGTAGGGCTGGGCAGCCCTCTGTGCTCCTAGGGCTCCCTCTCACTAAGGCAAGGGACACCCCTGAGCTGGTTTGCTCCTACACACCCTCCACCATTCCCGAGCTGCTCCAGCCACGTTTGGCTTGCTTGGCCGTGAGTCTGTGAGCCCTTGGGAAAGGAAACACACAGGCTTGTGAGTGGCCACCTGCTCTGAGCCCGTTAACCAATGTCTCTCATGGATATATTAGCAGCTACCAGAAGGGACTGTAGGGTCAGAGGGGAAGATGTAAAAGCACTTCACACATTGTCTGCTATTGCAAATAAATCACATAGAACCCTTCAATAAATCTAATTCCCTTTCTCTCCTCTGTGCTTTGAGTCATCCCTTCTCCTGGGACTGGATGACTCAGGGCATGACCACCCAGGCTTAATCACCCCAGTTTTCCTTCCAGAGGCACCATCCCCAATTTGGTGATGTACAGCCTCTGACTTCTGACTTTCAGAGGGGGTGTCCCATAAAGCCTCCTTCACCAACAGCAGAGCTGTATTCTGAAAATTTCCCTTAGTGAACATGAGCCTAAGTGACCAGCGGGTCCCCCTTCCAAACTGGGACATTCGTCTGTGTCCCTTGTCCATCTGGACATCCCTCAAGGATTCTGAGCCACAAAAGGGCCATACTCCTTTCTCTGCCTTCCCCCACTAATCTGGGTGAGCCTGAGGGTAGCAGACAGATTGAGGTGGGAGAGAAGAGGGGAACAGAGGGAGGGCACAAATGAACAGTGGCTGAGAGAGAGGCACAGCCTCTGCATCAGGAAGTATGTTCTGAGGGGGCCTGTCTCTCCCCTGACCTCTCTGACTCCCCCCAACACACATGTGACATATTTGTGTCTTCACAGCATCCAGCCCAGTCCCTGGCATGAAGCCACCACCTGGCCTCTGCCACCCCCCCCCCATCTCCTCTGACTCGCCAGGCCATGGGCCCCACCCCCAGCTGAGGTGACTTCTGGAGTTGACCATCCTCTCTCCTGAGTGCATTTCTATTTCTCCCTTGCTGTGGGGGAAAGGGGTCACCTTTCGTCCTCTCTTAGAGGCTGTCACCTCCCAGGCCCACACCCACACCTCCTGAATAAAATTTTTCTCCACAGAAACCTTCTCCCCACAGCTACAAAGACATATTTGCACTTTTTAATGGGGCCATATGGGAAGCTTTTACCCTGGGGAGGGACAATTCCTCCTGGCAGGCAGAAGACTGGCCCATTTCTCCAAACCACAGGACAGAGGGGATTTTCCACAAACAAGGACTGCAGGCACCTCCTTCCTCGCCCCAGTGGCAGCCCTGTGAGGGCCCTCACTGAAAGTTCTGGTGTGTTACTAGCTAGCCAGAAACCCTAACAAATCCCATGATTTGAATAATAAATATCCAAGATTCCCTGTGGAGTCCCTCTGTAATATCTTCTGTTGTAGGCAGGAATTGCAAATTTTCTTTATGAAACCCCCACCTATATACAAGGAAAATAAATCTAGGAAATCAGTAATATCGATGATAAGCATGCTGGCCACAACTGACTGATTTTTTTCTCTATGTGTTAAATATTTCACTGCATTTTCTCAGACCTAACTCAAAACTTCTTGAAGCTTCTTGTAACTTCTCAACATGAGAAGGGCCAGCCCCACCCATCACACACAAACGCTAACTCCCAGTGCAGCCCCTGCCACCTCCACGTGTGCTGGGAAGCCACATGCAGGCATGCATTCATTTCTTCATTCATTCTCTCACTGCGCAGTTACTCAGGTCTTACTCTGTGCTGTACTTTCCAGCATGTTGGAGGTTTTCCCAGGTATTGGAGGAAACCATTGTGAACAAGACCAACAGCAAAATCAGCCCGTGGGTTCTCGACCCCATAGGTAGAAAGAGAAATGAGAACTTCTAAGAGGGCTAGCAAGAAAAAACACAGGGGCGGGCGGGACTGGGGAGGGAGGCAGGAGAGGGAGTCTCTGACTTTGAAGCACATCTTTTCAAGGTGACTTTTCCTTCTACCATTCCTTCACTCCTTGATGCAAAACATTTATTGAGCACCTATTATATACTGGGCATTTGGCCTTCGGATAAAGCAGTGACTGAAAGAGGCCAGAATGCCTGCCCTCTGGGAGCTTACATTCCAGTGGGTGGAAACAGAAGAAAAGGACTAGTAGAGAAACTATGTCACGTGGGATATTATGGTGGGTCCTTATCCTGAGGTGACAGTTGAACAAGCCAAAGGGAGAGTGAGTGGGGGAAGATCCTTCCAGGGAGAGGGAACAAAACTGCCAAGGAGCTCTAGGTAGAGCCCAAAGGGTACTGAGATAAGACCTAAGTGATGAGAAGGAATCAGCCAGGCAGAGCCAGAGCAGAGGGTGCCAGGCCAAGGGAGCAGCAGGGGAAGGCTGGGTGTGATCAAGGAGCAGAGGGGATATTTCATACCTCCATGTCTTGGCAGATGCTGTTCCCTGGTGGGAATGCCCTTCCCACCCTCTTCTTAGAAATTAGAAAAGGAGCGCTCATTCGTTAAGGCTCACTCCTCCTATGATCAGTTGTCTTCTCCCCCTGGGCAGAAAGACTTGCTCCCTCTTCAGAGTTTCATTGTTAACTGAGCCTCCGTCACATTAAACAGGAGTTAATCTAGTAGGAAAGACAGTATTCTATTTTTTAAAATTTTTTATTTAGATTCAGTTAGCCAACATAGAGCACATCATTAGTTTCAGAAAGACAGTATTTTAAAATTCTCAGCAAGCACTCAGCGCTGGGCTGAGCTTGGTCGGTGTTCAGTAAATAGAATGAGTGTTTGTTGACTGGCTGGCTGGTGGGTGGTGGGCCATCTCCGAGGACTGACTGCAGGCAGCTCAAAAGGAACACTTGGTTTAGCCTCAGCCCCTGCTCTGGGCACGACGGCTTCTGAGACCATCTTCTCCTGAGGCTGGGTTGGGCAGAGAGCAGCCAGGATGCCTGCATTTTCCCCTCTTTGAACCTGCCACACACAGGGAGCAGCCGGAGGAAAGGCGGCAGGTGCAGGGTGTGGGGAGGGTTCTCTCCCGGCTCAGACGGCAGCGCTCCCCCACCTCTGATCCTTGCTTTTGTCCTGACCTCATTCAAGGGCTCTCTGCCTGTGCTGGTTCTTCCATCCCTCAGCGCTCCAGCTCCTCTCCCTTCTCTGCCTTCCAGTGACATCTGCTTCCTAATGCGCAGAGAAGGCTAAAGCCTTCGGGAGAATCCCACAGGCTCCCCCACCCCATCATGTGAGCTCTATGCCTCAGTTCCCCTTCTCTGCTGCTACTGAGTGGGTCTTGCCTACCAAGGGTAACCGTCCCACCGGACACCCCATTCCCTACCACACTGTTCAGCAGCTCTGGCCATTCTCCCCTCTCTGCTGCAACCTTGTCACCATCACACAAGCGTGTTCTTGCTTCTTCTTCTTTTTTTAAAGATTTTATTTATTTATTTGACAGACAGAGCTCACAAGTAGGCAGAGAGGCAGGCAGAGAGAGAGGGGGAAGCAGGCTCCCCATTGAGCAGAGAGCCCGATGCGGGACTCGATCCCAGGACCCTGGGATCATGACCTGAGCCGAAGGCAGAGGCTTTAACCCACTGAGCCACCCAGGCGCCCCATTGCTTCTTCTATCTTAAAGGAAAAGATCCTCTCTCCACCTCACTGCCCTTGAGGTGTTGCCCATCCTCTCATTCTCTCTACAGCAGGCACTTTCAAAGGCTGTGTGGATTGCTTATCTCCAGCTCTCCCTCTGATGCCCGCCCCCACTGCCATGCAGCTGTGAGCCCCACCCCCACAGTTCCGTATGGGCCCCCCCACCCCCCACCCCCATCTGCTTGCTGTCACTCTCACTTGTGCCTGACAAATGTGAACCTCCCTTCTGCCTGGTACACATACCCCACATTCTCTTGGTTTTGCCTGGCTGGTTCCTCATTGCCAACATCAACACATTAATGAACCCCCAGCATGCAGGCTTTAGATAAAAAAAATTTTTTTTAAATAATTATATATATATATGTGTGTGTGTGTGTATATATATATATATATACACATACACACACCCTCATTCCCTTGATTATCTCATTTAATCTCCTAGATTTAAATGCTATCGCTTACACACATACAAGTAAATGTCTACTTCATAAACTTCACAAGAAAAAATCCACTTCCACAAGCAAGAGTTCTGTTTTCACAACCTTCCCTACCTAGGAAGGAGTTAGAACAAAGTCCTGTGGGCAGTTAAGGATTGCCCCTCCAGTGAGGGAGGGTTTCCCAGCTGGGGGCTAGTAAATGTTTAACAACCAGCTTTCTCCAAAAGCCCTGATTTGGACGGTTTGTCAATGACTGTGGTACAAACACCTGCACCGTGGCTGATCTTCACGGAGATTCTAACAACCAGCTCACAAATCATCAGCTCCCGTGAGGTGGTAGGAGCCAGCTCTGGCCCTGTCCTGGTTTTAGCCCAAACTCCTTCATCGCACCATTTGACCTATTCTCCTGAAGAATGAGTAGGAAGGGGACATACACCCAGTCACTGTGACAACACCTTGTGTGTATTATTTAAGACTGGTATTAATTAGGGGTGACTGGGTGGCTTGGTCGGTTAAGTGGCTACCTTCTGCTCAGGTAATGATCCCAGGTTGTGGGATGGGGAGAGCAGGGAGCCTGCTTCTCTCTCTCTCTCTCTCCTTCTGCCATTCTCCCTGTGTTCTCTCTCTCTCTCTCTCTCTGTCAAATTAAAAAAAAAAAAAGACTGGAATTAGTTAGTATGTTGATTCCATTGCTTTAATTTAAAAAGACCCGAAATAACTTGTACACCAGTGTTCATGGAAGCATTATTCGCAATAGCAAACAGGTGGAAACAACCCAAGTGTCCACCAACAGATGAATGGGCAAATAATGGTATGTAGCCACAATGGAAGATTGTTCAGCCTTAAAAAGGAATGAAGTTCTGATGCAGGCTACAGTGGGGATGAGCCTTGAAAACTATGCTAAGTGGATAAGCCAGACACAAAAGGACGAACGTTGTGTGAGTCCACTTACATGAAGACCCAGAATAGTCAGACTCATAGACAGAAAGTAAAATGGTGGTTCCCAGGGGCTGGCAGTTGGGGGGACTGAGGAGTTCGTGATTCACAGGTACAGAGTTTCTGTTTGGGATGATGAAAAATTCTGGAAATGGATAGTGGTGATAGTGGCACAACAGGGGCAATGGACTTAATGCCACTGAACTGTTCACTTAAAAAGGCTTCCAATGGTAAATTTGATGTTCTATATATTTTACCACAGTAAAACAGTTTTAAAGAAGACTCAAAATAATAGAGGCTTACACACCATTTCTGTCACTCATGAAAGTCGGAATAGGTGGTGCTGCTGGCCACGGCTTCTGCTCCCTGAGTCCGAAGCCACGGCCACATGGGCTGTCCCCACCATCGTCCACACAGCTTCCGCTGCCTGGATCCCGACAGCACTTCAGCCAGCAAGAGGAGGGAACGTGGGGGCGGGGCCACGCTCCTTCCCTTTGCGAGTATGGGCTGGATCTTGCACATGAGACCTCCTCTTTTATCCCATTAATCAGAAGGTATTTATCTAACCGCAGCTGAGGCTGAGACATGTAGTCGTTCATCCAGACAGCTGTGTGTCCTGCTAAAATTTCTACACCCCATAAGAGGAGGAGAATGGATATCGGGATATAGTTAGTAATCCCTCTCAAAAGCCATAATAATCTTGTGCAGTTACCACTATTACCCCCATTTTAGAGAAGAAGAGTCTGAGGCTCAGAGTGATTAACTCACCCGAAACCTGAAATCCTGAAAAACCTGAAAACCCTGTTCTGTCTGGCTGGGAAGCCTGCGCCCTTTCCACTACACTACGCTCATTCCCTCTAAGGAGTGACGTTCATCTCATGTCCCCTCCAGAGATATTGCAAAGAAGAGCATGGGCTGGCTGGGGCAGGGGAGGGGAGCCACACAGACTCAGCCCTAGTGGCAGCTGGGATGGTGGCTGTGAAGTGACTTCGGGTTGCTAAATGGCTGTCCACATGGCACGTGCTGGAGTCGGCTCTTCCCTGGCCTGCAGGAACTGCTTATTCAATGTTCAGGAATTTTCTGTAATGGTTGTGTAAACACAACCATTCTAAAATCAAGTCATATACATTTACAATTAAATTATAGAAACAAAGCTAATACTCAGATGTGTCACTTCCTAGTTATTTCACTACGGTTTACTATTCTTTATGCTGTTGGGGTTATTTGTGCTGATGGTTCTCTGCGTGGTGGACGTGTGGTATAATGGAGAGCTGCTGCCCATTTCCTGCCCGTTCTGTGTCCAGTGACATCGCTCTGGTAACTTGATATCAGCCTTGGCGGGGCGGGGCATGTTAGTAACACAGCAATCAGCCAAGGTTACGATCAGAGCGTTTGGCCACTCACTGGCAGAGCACTGTGCCTACATGGAAAGGTGGTAACGATGGGGTCATGGGGAAGCAGCCTGCCGGACCCTGGTAGAGAAAGCACGCGCCTCCATCCCTCTGTCCCTTCCCTCCTGCATTCTGACTGCTCAGTAAAAACACCGGCAGAAGAAAACTTTCTTAACTGCCTTTTTTTTTTTTTTTTTTTTTTTTACAGCAGTTTCACGTTCATTTGAAGTTCAATTAGCTTTTGCCTCGCATAGTTGAATGCTCGGTTATTAGGCACGCGCACATTAAGGATTAGTATGTCTTCTTGGAAAATTGACCCCTTTATCATTATAAGGCCCTTCCGTATCCCCAGTAACTTTCCTTGCTTGGAATTCTGCTCTGTCTGAAATTAATGCACAACCACTCCAGCTCCCCTGATACGTGTTACATGGTATGTGCTTCTCCATCCATTTACTCTCTTTTTTTTTTTTTTTTTAAGATTTTATTTATTTATTTGACAGAGATCACAAGTAGACAGAGAGGCAGGCCGAGAGGTGGAGGGAAGCAGGCTCTCTGCTTAGCAGGGAGCCTGATGCGGGCTCGATCCCAGGACCCTGAGATCATGACCTGAGCCAAAGGCAGACACCTAACCCACTGAGCCACCCAGGCACCCTCCATCCATTTGCTCTTAATCTATGTGTGTCTTTATATCTAAAGTGGGTTTCTTGTGAGCAACATATAGTTGGGTCTGGTTTTTTGATTCACCCTGACAATCTCTGACTTTTAACTAGTGTACTGATGTTTAAAGTGATTTTTTTATATAGTTGGATTAATATCCATCATATTCACTACTGTTTTCTATTTGTTGTCCATGTTCTTTTTTTTTTTTTTTTAAAAGGCTTTCTTTTTTGACAGAAAGAGAGAGATCACAAGTAGGCAGAGAGGCAGGCAGAGATAGAGAGGAAGGGAAGCAGGCTCCCCACTGAGCAGAGAGCCTGATGCGGGGCTTGATCCCAGGACCCTGGGATCACGACCTGAGCCGAAGGCAGAGGCTTTAACCCACTGAGCCACCCAGGTGCTCTGTTGTCCATGTTCTATATTCTTATTTTTGCCTTCTACTCTTTTTCAGCCTTTTGTACTTTTAATTGAGTGTTTTATTATTCCATTTCCCTTCTTTGTCAGCATATCAGCTATACTTCCTTTCTTACCTTTTTATTGCCCTAGAGTTTGCAATGGACCTTTGCAGGTAATCCAAGTTCGTTTTCAAATAATACTACAGCACGTCACAGGTAGTGTGACCACCTTATGGCAATCATCATCTGATTTCCTCCTCCACCCCTTCTCTCCTTGCTGTCACTCATTTCTCTCATACATAAGCAGATACGTACATTAGCATACACTGTCAAATGCACCGTTGGTATTGTGTTGAGCAAATGCATCTATTAGATCAACTAAAAATTAAAAAAAAATAAAAGTTTTGGGGGCACCTGGGTGACTCAGTCAGTTAAGCATTCAGCGTTTGATTTCAGATCAGGTCTTGATCTCAGAGTTGTGAGATCCAGCCCCACATTGGGCTCCATGCTGGGTGTGGAGCCTACATTTTTGAAAAAGGGAAAAAGAAAAGTTTTTATTTTATTCCCATTACACATATGTTATACTGTCCTACAGTCCTTGGATATTCTGAACTTTTCTTTTCCCCCTAGGCCTTGTTCTCCTTTTCAGTTTTCAAGGACCCTATTTATTGATATATCCTCCAGCTCAGAAAGCCTTTCCTTAGCCGAGCCCAGTCTACTCGGAAGCCCACTGAAGCATTCTCGGTTTCTGTTAGTGTTCGATCTCCAGCAGTTCTTGGTTTTTTTGGTTCCTTCTCAGGATTTCCTTCCCTGCTGCCATTGCCCATCTGCTCTTACGTGCTGTCGACTTTATCCCCTGGAGCCCTCAGCATGCACATCCTAGCTGTTTTCAATTCTGGCCTGATCATTCCAACAGCACTGTCCTGTCTGGTTCTGACGCTTGCTCTGTCTCTGCAAATTGTAGTTTTGTCCTTCCGTGTGCCTTGTGCTTTCTTCTTCAAGCCAGAGATGAGGCGCTGGGTCAGAGGAACTGTAAACGGGCCTTTGGGGATGTTCCGGAAAGGTGTGGGGGAGGAAGCCTTCCCCCAGTGCCGAAAGTGAGTAGGGCTCAGTCTCCCAGTGAACGAGTACCCTTGGACTGTGGACCTCACTAGAGTTTCTCAGTTTATGCAACCCTCCCACTTAGGTGGAATGGATGACCAGAGTCGGCTGCAGCTGGGAATTGACCTTCCTCCAGATCACTCAGGCTCTAGTTAACTGGTTTTCCCTGAGACCAGGCCTTCAGGAAAGCAGAGTGCTTGGTGCATTGCAAAATGGTTCTTTTCCCTTCCTCTGCCAGGAGACTGAGATTTTTTTTTTTTTTTTTCAGATATTTATGGTGGGATCCAGGGGAGCCTCTGGAGGTAAGCCTTACATTACTGTAGGCCCCCCTTTCACTTGGGCCCCCTGGAGCGAGCTCAGCTGTGCACACTGCGCCCCAGCAATGGGCCAGTTGCAGTGGAAGTTTCCCCACCCCTGCACTCGCTCCTGCCACACCTTCCACTCCCAAGTCTCTGCTCAGGGAAGCTGGGACTCCCTGGATTCACCCATCTCCCCAGTCTCGGGACAGTGGTTGGCCTGTGTCCTCCTCTCTTTCAAGGGACTGGGAAGAGTTGTGGATCTCTGTGCCTGCAGCTCTTCACTTGTCGGGATGAAATGGCAACTTCAAGCTCCTCACATGTGGAG